ATGCTTGGGAGGGTGGAGGGACAGCAGCAGGAGGGGAAGACCCTCTATGAGATGGATTGATTCGGTGACTGAGGTAATCAGGATGGGTGTGTCAGAGGCAGTGTGGTTGGCGCAAGATAGAGCAGGGTTTAGGGCTGTTGTGCATAGGGTCGCTATGAGTCGCAATCGACTCTAGGGCACATAACAACAACATTTGGCATTTGTTTGTCCTCTGGTATCTAGAACCTGTTTAACTTCCCTATGCCTGCTGTTCTTGTTAGATGCCCTCAAGCAATCCTGTGAACAACAATTATCTGAACCCTGTCCTATCCTGTACTATCCTCACAATCTCTAACATGCTGGAGCCCATTGCTGCATGCAGTGTGTCAATCCACCTAGTTGAGAGTCTTCCTCTCTTTCACTGACACTCTATCTTTCCAAGTATGATGGCCCTCCCCAAAGACTAGCCTCTCCTAGCAACATGCCCAAAGTATGTGAGACAAAGCTTTGTCATCTTTGCCTCCAAGGGCACTCTGGCTGCACTTTCTCCAAAACCTATCTGTTCTTTTGGCAGTCCATAGGATAGTCATACTCTCCTCCAACACTACAACTCAAAAGCATCAATTCTTATTCTGTCATCCTTAGTCCAGCTTTCATATACATAGCAAGTAACTGAAAGAGTATGTCTGTAGTAATGGAAATTAAGTAAGATTTGTGGATGGCTTTGGGCCAGATCATCCCATATTGAGATCAATTTCCTGGGTTAGGTTTTTCCTTTTTAAAAATTTTAAATTGCTGTTTGTTTTCTGGGAATCCTCTCTCTAGACAGAGGAGGTCCTATAACTGGAAAGATATTAATCAATTAGCAGCTCACCCAGGTATAAAATCCATAACTGTCTGAAAACCTCAGAGGTAGTTTTGGAGAATTAATTCCTATCTGCCTGGCCTGCAATGTTTGGATACAGCATTTCCATCTCAGTTCTCTCTCTGGCTTCATGACTTTCAACACTGACCTTTGATGTTCAGAAAGTCTTGGAGTGAATTCCAACTCTTAGTGCTCCTCCATTAGGTTTCTGAGGCTGAGAATTGTTATTGGAAGCCTGGTATCTTCAGCTGGCAGCCGAAAAACAAATCTCGATGACAGGGAATGGTGTGGCAAAAGTATGAGTTTTATTATATGGCAGTGTATAAGAGACAGAAAATAAGAGCTTTCCAAATCTATCTTCCTGGATTTGGGAGGGAGAGGACAAGGGGAGGAGATTTATAAAGATGGAAGCAATTAAAATATTTTCTTTTTTTTTGTGGGCCAAATCTTTATGTTTGTTTTGTTTTATAATTTACTTATTTTTGCTGCTGTTGCTGAGACTAAGCATAGGAGAACATACACCAGGTCAACAGTTTCTACATGTAAAATTCAGTGACATGGATTACATTCTTCAGTTTGAACAATCATTTTCAAGATCAATTTCTGAGTTATCCTTCTGTATTAACATAAATTCACTGCTCCTCATGTTGCCTATCTAAAATTTTAAATTTCTGGGTCCATTTGATTATTAAAAGATCACAAAACTCAGAACAGAGATTCTTTACCAGTCAAGCACTATGACTGCTTAGTTTTAAGAAGACTTCAGAGGGTAATTTTGTTATTAGTTTTAAAGATAATCTCAGCAACAGTTTCAGACAGTCATCAGCTTCTTTTTTTTTTTAAAGCATACTCCACTATATTTTGAAATTTATCTTAAAATATTGCTCCAAAGTGTAATGTAGCCTTTCCATGTCTTTTTTTTTAAAAAAAAATAGCATTCAGCTTATTACAAATATTTAGTATTGGCTTCCCATATTTCCCCCCTTTTGTTTTTATCATAATTATGTTATCATCTAGATGAGCATCAATTAAAATATTTTAAAAATAAGTGTCCTTTTAGTCTAGGAGGACAGTTTTCTGGAAAGTCTCCTTATGAAATTTAAATCCTTTAACTGTTTCAGTTTGCCATCATCCTGAAATCTTTGCTGTTGTTGTTGTGTACCAACCTACTTGAACCTTTAGCCTTGGACTGTTCATATTTCTCCCTCGGAGCAGCTGGTAGATTTGAACTGCACATCTTTGTGTGTGCAATTCTTTACCACTAAGAAATCTTAGTCCTTCTATTAACACAGTACTTGTTGTTGTGTGTCACAGAGTGGGAACCAACTCAGACCTGACCCTCCAGGAGAGTTTTAGAGGCAGTAAATCACAAGAGATTACCCATCTTTCTCTTGTAGAGCAGCTGGTGGGTTTAAACCGGT